TTTTTTTTTTTTTTTTTTTTTTTGAGGGGCCCGGGGGAGGGGTGGTGGTGGAGGGATCACCTATGGTTATAGCAAGGAGTTACAGTATAACTCCTTGGTTATAGATATCAATACTTTCTAGTATGAATAATTCAGTCAAAGAAATTAAACAAATATATATTTATATATATATCAGCTGTATATATATATATATATATATATATATATATATATATATATATATATATATATATATATATATATATATATATATATATATATATATATATATATATATATCAGCTACAAAGTAATTCTAAGGGCACATGCTTAACTTACACATTAACATATTTACTTTACCTGCGATAACTTCACTCTTTGGTTTGAGATGACACTTAAATGACTCCTGGTCTGATATGACAGCGTGTGTTCTGATAGGGCACACCTGTATGCGTCAGCCAATGGCCTCTCAAACATGGCGAGGTAAACAAAGGTGAGCACATGTAGCAACTCGATCAGAACCAATTATAGTGGAGTATGTTATATGTAGATACAGATCCCTTATATTATGTGTTGGGGGGAAGGGATATGTATGTATTGGGGGAAGGGAGTGTTCTCTCTCTCTCTCTCCGTTTGCAAGTGGGATAAAGTTACTCTGGTGTGAATCTTTACACTCAATTACAGAGTATTTTCACCAAGAATGAAATTCAAGATGGAAGAGTTTCCCTGAAGCTGAATACAACCACACACAGTGAAAGATCAGACTGAAAGGTAATTACACTATTGACAAAGTATAATAATATAACTTACGAGCACATATTGCTGTACAGTACACCCTCGATCACCCCTCCCTCCCCCCACTGCTCCACTGTAACAGTGATTAGTGACTGTACTACCAGTATACAATATACATAAAGGTGTTTTCAGTGTGAACTTATAATAAGTAACGCTTATATTATGTGATGATTAACTTGCTTCTAATTTTTCTTGATGCAGGATTTTAAATCATTGGAGAAATGGAAGCTGGTACTGAATTTGAAAATCAAGATCCAAAAGACACGCATACATGTACGTCTTTAAGTTTACCTGTGTCCAATTCAAGCCCTAACTGCCAGGAAGAGACCAGTCAGGGAAACGGGGACAATTGCACCAACATACCTGTCCCCAGTTTAAATTATACAGGTTCTCACAGTATGAAAACCTCGGGTCACCATCCCAGAACACTGACTGAAGAAGAGGCGGCCAAACTGTCGCAAGACACACGTGTTGTGAATGACTTCAAACAGATGACTTTAGAAAAAGAGGCACAGAAAAACTGGGACAAGTTTTATAAAAGGAACAGCACCAAGTTCTTTAAAGACAGACACTGGACTTCCAGGGAGTTTCGAGAACTTAGTGGATTTGATAGCAGTCAGGTTGGATGTTTTCGTCTTCATGATTAGTGTTGTTCAGGCCTGACCTCATTTAATTCAGAAACATTTTACATGTAATTTTATGTATTTGATGATAATACCACAGTTTTAATTGTAACTACCGTACTACTACATGTAAGACCACATACTGTACTAGTATTTACTTGAGTGAAAATCAGATATTGAGCTTACATGTACATAATATATGTGTGCTGAACATAATCTTTTGCTATGATTTTATTATTTAGAGTGCTTCCAAGTGATAATTATCTAGAAGCTTTTAAAATAATTATGTTATCATAAAGGAATGCAGTGACATTAGCAGAGATTGAAGTAAACTTACAGGGATGTGAAGAAGTTTGACAATTGTATATTGCATCTTGGTTATTGTTAAGCATTGAAATACATTTTAGACAAACCATATTATATTTTATTTTTAAAGCCACAAGATAAACATATCATGAACACTTATAACACTCACCAAAATATGCTAAGGGGCATCCTAAACCAATTATACTAATTATATCTTGTCAAGTTCAGTGGTTATCTCTACAGGGAATGTGCTGTCTCGTTGACCTGTGTTTGATATTAGATTATTTCTCTGTACAGCATCTTTGTCTGTTTTAAGCTTTACTTTACGTGTGTACTTGGACCCATATTATGTTCAAGATGTGCAAGAACAAGGACATGTCTTATTAGTGTCATTGTTTTTTATGCATCCATATTATTTCTCAGATCAGCTAAGTAAAGTACCACATTCTATTTAACTGAGTGAGAGGAAATACAATTTACAAACACTACTTGGAATATGATACAGATATATAGTACACTGATTTTTAAAGTGATATTAAATATTTGCATGTCATCATGCCAGTGTAAAAGGGAAAGGAAAGGGGTTTAATGCCTGATGTCAATCATGTTCTTGCTTGATGTATCACTCCATGCTTACACAAGCTGCTGGTGGCAGCTGTACTTGTATAACAAAGTACTGAATAGCAGGTGAATTATTAGCTGAGATAATAGTGACTTTGAAGAGATAAAAAAGTGACAAAGAAGAGTTAAGGGCAATAGGATGACCTTTATTATCTGCAGACACAATTGTGTATTGAATTATCCAAGAAAAGATGAGTAAATCAATCTGCATATGAGCTAGACTAAATTATAACTGGCTTATTCAGCTTCATTGTCAATATCAACACGAAATAAGTTGCATAATAATTGTGCTAGAGTTAGATAACTGCAATTAGTGTAATGACATAGCTAGATTGGACTTGATTTCAATCCTTCCAAAGCATGGTTATGTTACTAAACAATACACTGTCCACAAGCCTGATATACACAACAACATGTATATTGGGCTAAGGGGTAGCAGTCTGAGTGCATTAGTAATAGATAGACCCCGAGTCTACGCACTCGTGTATGGCACATAACCCTCGCTGACGAGGGGTCTATCTTATTTAGACCACGGGTCCATTAGCGGGTTATAACGCATTCATGCGAGACATGCGGTTATGCGAGTTACACCACGTCTGAGTCTTTTGTTCTTCACTTCCACCGTGGTCTAATTTATCATACATACAAAGGGAAATCGTACATGTTTCCCACCCAAAACCCCAAATTTTGAATGGAATACTTTGATATCACCGCCAAAGGGCGAAATCAAAGAGCCCCATGGTACCAGTATGTATATAGCCTTGGACACAAAATACTTGTGTATTTTGTGTCCAAGGTATAGCTTTGCAATCCACCTGGATATGAAGAAATTCTAAAAGAAAACTATTGATTAGTATTCTAATTGGCAGGAAACTACATCTAATCAATTGGTGGCCAGTTAAAGTCAGTAATGTAAGCTAGATTGGATGTTGAAAAACATGAGGTTTTGATATTCAGTCCAGGATTGCTTTAAGGTGGAGTTAACTTAAACATTAATATAAGTGCTTTACTCAGAACGATCGATCCAGTTGAGCATCTTGTAAACAATCAGTGTGGTGTTGAGGCGAGGAATGCGGATTATGACTTGAAAAGAGCCATTGTACTTCTGCAATGATTGATAAAATAAAAAAAGGAAAAGACACTACAAAGATAACAGTGTTTTGTGCTGCTACACTTGTACATGTAGTTACATTTTAGTTCACTACACATGTTTATGATGTGTACAGCATAGATGTGTGTATATATACAGAGAGGAAGAGATACATGAGGGTGCTGTTGATTGTAAGTGACAGCCATTGACATGAGATTCAAGGAAATATGTGGTTCAGTAAATCAGGGAATTATATCAGATATAA